TTATTTGGTTCTGGAGGAGAGAATTTGGTTGTGCTGTTGGATTTACCGGCAAAGAGGTCTGCAACTGCATGGTATTTATTGTTTTGGGGACTGCCCGCGCTATAAGAGTCGTTAGACCTTGAATGATCTCCGGGTCTTGAAGAAAATCTGTGGCCTTTACTATCGGGAGAGGGGGGGTTCGCGCCGCATTTCCAGCAGAATGATTGGTAGTATGACTATGTGCAGCATGTGAAGTACGGTCTCGTGAAGATTGAGACATTACGACGGTGAAACGCTCGAGAATCAATTTATGCAAGTTATGGCCGTAAAGGTAAAGATTAGCCTCAAACAAATATGAGCGCCCTCATTCTAGCGCCAAACTGTTGTTATGTGCGAATTAACAACTATTATCTAGATCGAGTTAAGGTGTAAAAAGGAACGATTTATCAAATACAGAAGGGAAAGGACGTCGGTCTCAAGTGTTACCGATGTCGGTTTCTATTCATGTTCTGCAATAATTGTCTAGTGTTCATTACAAGATTACTAAAAGTACAAAAGTCCCCCTTTCCAAGGGTTAAGCCTGCTATTTATAGACCGGTGGTCCATTGAACGAGGTAGGTGTGATCGCATTTATTGTGACGGCGAGGTCAAAGGCGGTCATCTGCCACTTGTGTTCGTAGTTCACCACCTGGATAATAGTCATGATGATGGTGCTGAGCTGTCACTGCCTCTTAATGTTGACTATCATCTCGAGGATGTCGGTTGGCATGGTCTCAACTGTTGAAAGATGTCGGTCGAGTGGATGAGAGTAATGATTTATTGTTTGCATGCTAAGTAATGATGTCGGTTCTCATCAATGATGTCGGTTCTTTGCCTGTCGTAACCGATGTAATGGTACTTGCGATTGATGAGCTTAAAGTCCTCAAGTTCGCCTGACTTTAGGCTAATGACTCCTGGTAATCTGGTTTACCAAAAACCATGTCAACAGCCATGTTGATAAATTCGGGACTACCCCAAAACATATGGGGGGAAGCTGTTTTAACAGCAAATCATATCCTGAATAAAATACCACCTAAAGGGAAAAATGAGACTCCTTACAAAATGTGGAAAATCGTAAGCCGTCTTATAAGTACCTGAAAGTGTGGGGGTGTTTGGCTAAGGCTTCAGTATCTAAACCCAAACAAATGAGAATTGGACCAAAGACGGTCGATTGTATATTCATTGGATATGCGCACAATAGTACAATATATAGAATTCTGGTTCATAAATCAGAAAATTCAGAGGTATCTGTGAGTACCACGATTGAGTCGAGTAATGCTATATTCTTTGAGAATATTTTTCCTCTAAAGGAAAGGACAAAATCTAGTTATAATAAACGAACATATGAAACTGTTAGTGGTTCTGTACCAGAGGGTACTACTGAAGAACCAAGACGCAGTAAAAGGGTAAAAACGGCTAAAATGTTTGGACCTGATTTTATTACGTACATGTTGGACGATGAACCGAGTTCCCTTAAGGAGGCTCTGTCCAGCCCAGATGGACAACTCTGGGAAGAAGCTGTAAATAGCGAAATCGACTCCATTATGCAAAATCATACTTGGGAGTTGGTTGATCTCCCTGATGGTTGTAAACCTTTAGGATGCAATTGGATCCCAAAGAGGAAATATAAAGCTGATGGATCGATTGATAAGTTTAAAGCACGATTGGTGGTCAAAGGCTTTAAACAAAAAGAAGGATATGACTTCTTTGATACCTATTCACCAGTTACGCATTTAGCGTCGATAAGAGTGCTGATCTCGATTGCTGCTTTGCACAATCTTGTGATTCACCAAATGGATGTTAAGACGACATTTTTGAATGGTGAATTGGAAGAAGAAGTTTACATGGAACAAATCGAAGAAGTTGTAGCACCTAGACAAGAGAAAAAGGTGTGCATATTGATCATATTGTTGTACGGACTGAAACAAGCTCCAAAACAATAGCATCTGAAATTTGATGACGTGATGTTGTCAAATGGGTTCAAAATCAACGAATGTGACAAATGTGTTTATGTTAAGAGTGCATCAAATACATTTGTAATTGTATGTCTATATGTAAACGATATGTTGATCATGGGGAGTAGCCATGAAGTTATCATAGATACGAAAAGAATGTTGAAGAGAAATTTCGAAATGAAAGATATGGGTTTAGCTGATGTTATTCTTAGAATAAGGATTATCAGAACCCAAGATGGAATTGTCTTGTCACAATCACTACGTCGAGAAGGTGCTCAAGAAATTTAATGCATATGACGGTCCAATATGCAGGACACCCCTTGATCTCAGCATAAATCTGGTAGCCAATAAAGGTCAACCAGTAGCTCAGATGGAATATTCACGGATAATAGGGAGTCTGATGTACTTGACGAATTGTACATGACCAGACTTAGCCTATCCGGTGAATAAGTTGAGTAGTTTACGAGCAATCCCAGTCATGAGCACTGGAATGCTATGAAGAGAGTACATGAGTACGTGAAGTACACTTTTAAATACGAGCTGAAATACTCGAGATACCCAGCAGTACTTGAAGGGTACTGTGATGCATCCTGGATATCTGATTCGAGAGATTCACACTTCACAAGCGGATATGTGTTCTGCATAGGAGGTGGTGCTGTTTCATGGAAGTCCACAAAACAAACTTGTATAGCCCGTTCCACCATAGAATCAGAGTTCGTCGCTTTAGATAAAGCAGGTTAAGAAGCAGAATGGCTTCAAAATTTTTTAAGTGATATTCCATGTTGGAATAAGACTTTGTCGCCTGTGAGGATTCACTATGATAGACAAGCAGCTATAGGAAGAGCACCAAGCAACATGTATAACAGTAAATCTAGATATATTCATCGTAGACATAATACTATTCACCAGTTGATCACAAATGGTATTATTTCCATTGACTACGTGAAGTCTTAGGAAAATTTGGCAGATCCTTTGACTAAAGGATTGAATAGAGATCAATTGGGAGAATTGCTAGAGGGAATGGGCTTAAAAATCCACACTGAAAAGAATGATCATAGTGGTAACCCTGCCTTGCCGAATGGAGATCCCATAAACTTGCTTCAAGGGGAAAACTAAGCTATGAAAATTCAGCTGAGCACTTGAAACGGAAGAATGTCCAAAGCTATTCCCTAGAGCACACCAAGTGCAGTATGACCTGTTGATTGTGGTAAGGGCAAGTCATCTGAACTTTTAATGAATCCCTAACCTTGTAAAGGTGGAGTAATACAGGATACTCTTGCTAGGGAGGTCACCTATATAAGTGTGAAGTGTGGACCGCTTCAAATGTAAACACTTATGAATCCAAAGTGTTGTCCATGGCCAAAACGGACACAACAACAGAACGGGACGAAGTTAAGGCTCTATTGCGTGAATGTCATTGTCTTGGTGTACACTATGAAGGAATAGTTCAAGGCATTATGTCCACTAAGCCGCCAGTACATTCGATGATGTTTACTAAAAAAGGTTCAAAGCCACAAACTACCTTTTCAGATGCAATAGAGTTTAGTGAGGATTGAGCACAAAAGTATGCTTACATTTAATTTCCACTCATGTGGGGGATTGTAAATAATTAAGAGGAAATAAATGTGAGTGGGTCCCATTTGAACAAATCATCTCCTTATCTTTTTATCTTTTTAAAATTGTGTGAATGAATGGGAGAGTTGCCATACTGCTATTTGACAATTTGATCTGATTTAGTGAACGAATCTGGGGGTTGCCATACTGCAACTTGAATTTTGAATCTGTTGCACCCTCCTATAAATATGTATGCTCAGGCAGAATGAAAATACGCACCAAAATAAGAAAGAAAGAGAGAAAAAAGAAAGAGAAAGGAAAGAAAAGAAAGATATATGTCCAAATATTGGATATAAAAATATCAAAAGAGAAGAAACAAGTGATATTTCTAATAGTTTCAGAATATTCATTTTATTTCTAAGTGCTCAATTCTCGATTTCGTTCCCGTTCGCCGGAGCTCGTAAATCTGGTGTGCTACAGATTTAGAGACGTTTGTCGTTGTATCTTTGGGGAAGTTACGCCTGAACCGTTAGCACCACACGGGGCGTATTCTTCTTGCGGAAAGAGTTTTACTCGCCTCGGCTAAAATCTTTTCGTTTTTCAGTTGTAATTTATTTTTTCAGTTCAATATGAGTTGTTGGGTGTTAGCTGGTTTTGTTTTGTATATTTGTAGATGGGTTGTTGTCAGTTCTAGTCATGTTGCTTAGTAGTAGTTGGTAGTTTGTTTAAGGTAGTTTAGCAGGTTGGTTGTTTTGTTGGTTTGGGTCTGCTAGGCATAGTTGCACTGGTAGCCCTGTTTTGCAGAGCTTGACTCCTTTGTAGAGCAAGGTCAGAATTGTCCTGGAATATCTTGGCCCTAAGCCTAGCCTTAGTCAAAATCTTCCCAAGCAATTATATTTTCCTTTGATTTCTTTGGGGCACCAAGCTTGTGTGCTCCTCTATTCTTCCCTTTTGCGTTAAATGTATGGCTTCTTGTCAATTCTATTGTACATTTTTTGAGTAATAGAATCTACCGTGTCGATAAAAAACAAAGAGACTAACAGCGAGATGCAACTCGACTAACAAAACACAAAATCGAAAATGAACAAAAAAACAACACAACTAAAAAAAAAAAAGAAAAAAATAAAATAAGGCCCCTAATCCTTGTAGACAAAACGCACTACCACCTAGTTGAGCACATGTGCCAACAACACCGTAGCAACGAATCCCAACAGGCTACATCCCGAAACCCCCAAACGAACAAACTACTACCCAATTCGAGGGAAATTGTTGAATAGAATATTTAGTTGGCACAATATAATTAACAATTCCAAATGACAAATTATGAGCTAAAGTTTTGAGAGCGACTCCGAAAAGCCGATGGTCGTGAAGAGCAGAGCAACCCATCTATCTATCCATCCATCCACCTCAAAACAACATTATGCTCCACATTTTTTCATTTTATTTGCTTTAGAATCTGTTTGTGTTGCCAATATGAAGAAGCAAAACTCTACAAACCACAACCATCAAGCGCAGGTACTACTGCAATTACCTAGATTTATACTAGTTGTGGTTATTATTGCTTTTTAGTTTTTTGAGATGACTTGAGATAGATTGCAGAGAAGAAACTGGGCTGAAGAAGTATTGTGTTTCGCTTGCGCGTGCCTACAGCTCTCCTGGCGGCGCGTGGTGGTCCGCAAGTGGCTCAACATCCCTACCGCCAATTCGGATTACTCTGCCGATACCGATTCTGGCTCCGATTCCGAACCAGGTTCACCTTCAACACTAACCAACTCTGCTTCAATCTCCTCCCTAATAATATAATAATATTCTCTAATTACATTTTCCCGTGCGTTTTGCAGAATTCTGTGATTGGCCGACAGACCATCGTTTCAGGAATGATAACCTAGACGAACCTCATCTGGATTCTAATGGTGCAGTGCTTTAGATCAGAATTCTTAATCACGATAATTGTTCAGATGGAGCTTTTTTTCGTAGTCAAATTTTAGGACACTAATTGACGTAGTAATTCTGATCAACTTTCAGGACACTGATATGCCATAAAACTTGTTCTACTGTTACTCACTGGACTCGTTAAGGCTAAGGATTTCATGTTGTTTTTCTTTGTGTGTGTTTTGAACTGTATGTTGTACATAATAGGAACATCATTTTTAGCTTACCCTCATTTTTGAGTAAAATACGATTTGTTAACATCATTCAAGTATCTTCCATGTAAGATTTTCTTGCAGTTTCATGTGCGATATGATGTGCTTTCCCTTTCTGTAAAATGTTTTTATTCTGAATACTTAGTTCTAGATCTTGCTGTTCCACTTACTATTGGTTGGAAACATGCTTTAGGACATATTTCTTTAATTTACTGCTCTTAGTAATTAGTCTTTACCTGTGTGTTATTTACTAGTCAGAAGTTATCTTTGGGAAGGAGATTCATACTGTCTTGCAGAGTTGGGTATAGATGAGGCATTTATTGAGTTTCACTGATCTCAATAGTGATCAAAACTAAAAGCAAATTATATTTTTAAAGTTGAACAAATTGTTTGTTATTACCAATTTAGAAACTTTTAGCTTTGTCTAGTCCTCTAATTATATAAACATCTTACATAGTTTCCAGTTTTGTTGCCTTTTCTGCCAAGTAGGACCTTACAAGCTATATATACACATGAATAGCTGCTTTTTGGGTGAAATATATTTCGAATTTTTCTTCTGAGATTATTTTGAGCAAGTTACTTTGCTTTTTTCTGTAGATATGTCCGCAACGCTCCCAAGAAGCCACCCTATCTGTTTTTGACACGTCACCCATTTTGCGAGATTCTTATAGTTGTCTTAACCTACTATAAAAAACTTTTCAATAGGAAAAAGAAGGAAAGAGAAAAGCTAAGATTGCCTGGCATGAACCCATAGTTTGTAAAAAAAGAAACAAAATCGCCTCTGCTTAATCTGTATGTGGGTACGCTATGACTTGATGCACAAAAGTGCCTGTATCTTAATGCTTTCCCACTTGTAACCTGTGGCTGTTTGAGTGAGCCATATCTTTCTGTTGCATTATTGAAATCTCAGTTATGAATTCTGCTTTTGCTCCATGGTCAAATTCAGATGTTCTTCCCAGGATAAGAAGACGAAAATCAGAGACGCTTAGAGCTCAGTACATTAACGCAAAGGAAATCAGGTTTGTTTTCAATTGCAGATTTCTCAACACAATAGCTGTTTTTTTTTTTTTTTTTTTTTCTGAATTATTATGTTTCATTACTAAGTTTGATTTCCACTCTCGTCTTGGGCTTTATTAGAGTATGTGCTGCCACATGGAATGTAGGGGGACGAGTTCCGCCTGATGACTTAGATCTTGATGGATGGTTAGACATTGATGAGCCTGCTGATATTTATGTGATTGGGTAAGTAGATTCTGTTTTCCAAAGAAATCTATGTCTGTAACCAACACTTGCTGTATAATCTAATTATATAACGTTTTGTTGGTTCTATAATCAGTACATGCCATTCATATCATCCATAACGCACTCAGCGGATTGCATTTTATCTTATGCAACGTTTTCATTTTCAGCTTTAGCAATTGTGCTCCTTATCTCAGTACTCTTACCGTCCTATTCAGTATCATTTCTAATAATATCCACTCATTTTCCATGTGTCATCCATTGTTGCAGCCTTCAGGAGATAATACCATTAAATGCTGGTAATATATTTGGCGCAGAAGACAAATGTCCAGTCTCCAAATGGGAAAACATAATACGAGAAACTCTGAACCAAGTTCCGCCTGTGAATAAGTTTAAAAGCTTCAGTGATCCTCCTTCCCCATCAAAATTTAAACCATCTGAAGATGCCCCGAACATCGAAGATGAAATTGCACTTGGATCCGACAGTGATGTTGAGGAGGAAGTTTATCCTTTGAATGAGGAATCAAATGGTGTAGAGGGAATCAAGTACGAGATTTTCAAAGGAGAAAAATCTCAATGTGATAATTTGAATGTCTCCCATGGATTTGATAACTTAACAAACTCAGTTGACCAAGAGTTCAAGCAGCAGCTTTCTTCTGCGAAAAAACTGGACAGATACAATTCAGAAGTTGTGGACACACAGTATACCAAGAAACTTACCAAAACACTTAGCGGTGCAGAAAGGATAGGGCTAAGCTGGCCCGAGCCCTCTCTTCCTCTGTTAGCTTATCATGGTTTTGGTATAGCTAATTCCTTCAAACCCTCTAAGTCGTTGAAAGCTTCCAAATCTCTCAACAGATACAGTTCTTTCAACTCAAAAGCGAGTGCGGAAAATAGAATGCAATTTTACTTATCTCAGCTATCCGAACATGACCTTGAATCTCTAATTATCCGGAAGAGAAGGCCACCATATGTGAGAATCTTAAGCAAGCAAATGGTTGGTATCTTTATTACCATATGGGTCCGAAGGAGCTTGCGGAGGCATATTCATAACTTGAATGTGTCTACTGTTGGTGTAGGCATCATGGGTTATATTGGCAACAAGGTTTGTTCTGCATTGTCTGTTTCTTGGTGACATATATGATTATGCATATGTTCCATTTGGGTCTTATTATAAATGAGAAACAATAAATCATTTATTGGTTGCAACAGACTCCAATTACTTGAATTTTATTTAATCATTTGTTTGTTTTATGTTATTTGGCACTTGTCACTCATCCTCATGTCTCATCATATAATTTTAAAACCCATTGAAGAAGAGTCAGACCTATCTGTTTCTTTGTTGTTAAGTTCTCATTGAACACACCAAACATAAATGCATTTTCCTTTTTTTATGCAGATAAGAACACATGGTAGTAAATGATTCTAAGTTTGTTTCATACAAGGGTTACTGTGCTTAGTTATAGGTTTTTGATCTCAATTATTTACTTATAATTTGGAAATTGGTTATGTGGATTTGTGGCAGAAGTTGATATTATTGCTGGAAACTGAGGAAAACAAAATCCAGTCTTAGTTTTTCGTTGAATGATGTTTTATCCTTTGATTATTTATGCATTCTATAATTCATCTACTGTTCAAAGTTATGCTTTTTTCTTGTAAGAAATGGAATGTTAACTGTACCACTATCCGTGTTTGGTCTGCTGGAAACATGTCGAGCTGGGGCTGTTGACGAGTCCTCATCACCTTATAGCTACTTTATGATTATGGTAGTTGCTGTCTATTATTGTGATCAGGGTGTGAAACATAACTTTAACAGGCTGTTATATAGGCTTTATTGTTTCTTATCTTATTAGGTGTGCAATCAATATATCTTCATTATAGCTATACCAAACATAATAATTTCCTAAGAGTGTTTACTATTGTGTAAAGAGAGCAGAAGAAATTAAATTTCATGGTTATAGTCTTCTACCATCTTTGAACTGTGATGGAAAATGGAAGTCTAAATATGACGATGTAAACATAGAGGGAAACCAAAAGATGCATTAATGTTATGATATGGTTTGTAGATATTGTATAATGTATTCATACATTTTAATGGGAACAGTTTGCTTAAGTACTAACCTCTATGAGGAATCAGTCATATAGTCACCTGCTGTTGCTTAGGAGTTTTGATAACTGTGGTATGGCTCACATCGCAAACAAGTTTTATCATGCCCTTGTTAATAGAATGGCCATTATCCTGTTGGCATGATAGTTGTAAAATAAAACCTAAGTATATTCTTTTTTTTTTCCCCCGACTCTCTACCTCTTTCTATAGTTTCATGGATTTCTCTTGTATTGTTTTAAGAAGTTCTGAGATACCAAACTTATGTAATTTACAGTTTACTTGTCTCATTTTGGGTTATGCTCAGACCATTTTACCTTCAATAATGGGGTATTCTATCTCTACTACGTGATATTCATATTTTTATTAAGTTATTAATAAAAAAGTAGACAAGAGAGCCTCAAAGATGCCATATGCTAAGAAACTAAACTTTGATTGAATATATCCTTCTCTTTTGCTTCAGTACTCAATGCTCTAACTAATTATTTAGCTCTTCCAAGTACGATTTCTTGCTCGCGCATTTTAATTTATTCAAATAGCATAATTTCTTTCTCTTTCTCAGGGATCAATTTCAGTCAGCATGTCTATACATCAAACACTTTTCTGTTTCATTTGTACTCATCTGACATCAGGGGAGAAAACGGCAGATGCAGTTAAAAGAAATGATGATGTGCAAGAAATACATAGACGAACACACTTCAATTCCAATGTTGGTATGGGCCTTCCTAGAAGCATCTATGACCATGAGTAAGTATTTCCATTCTTCTCTTCCTTTAATCTCCCTTATATATTAATTAAGACCATGAGTATGTATTTCCATTCTTCTCTTCCTTTAATCTCTCTTATATATTAATTAAGAATATGTGGAACTTAAATAGTCGGCTTGCACGCTTTGGAAGCTTATTTGGTTTAATCCATGCTTCGTATTAACACATGTACAGGTTTGATTTTGACAACTAGGCTGGGGAATTACCATAAACTTACCTATCATTTTCTTAAATTACCGTATATTACATTTTCTTTTGTTATTTAATTCATATATTAATTATTATAAATCTGGGTTCTTATTTTTAAAAGTTTACAACATTTTTATTTTTATTTCATTTTTCATATATCATAAATCAAATTTGTTTTATTTGAAAATACGTCGTATTACATATATAAAAGTAAAGAATAATCTCATCTATCTTTAGTAATGAAATTTAAATTTATTTATTAAACAAAATTAAAAAATATCAAATAAAACTATATATTATTGTATGGAAACAATCATTTTAGTGTATTTTTCTAATAGATTTGTGAAAAATGGGGAAACTAAGTATTAACATAAAATAAATAATAAGCAATATCCTAATAAATTAAGTCTGGAAATAAATAAACTATACAGAGAGATTGACTACCATTATGATTTTGAGAACATAAACTACAAGTGCATATCACAATTAAATTTAATAAAAAAATTTATATATCATAAAGTTAGTAAATATGGCATTTATATATATTAGTTATATTTTAATTTATATTTATAATGTATTATAAATTGAAAATACTTGAAAAAGCAATAAATGAGAGACGAGCTTTATCTATCTATATATACTATTATAAAAGGACGAATAGTTTTGTAAAAATATGAATTGCCTAAAAATATAACTAACTTTGACATATTCTTAACTGCAAATTAGTAATACAATAATACTCATCTTATCTTATATTTTTACTTAAAAAATAAACTACCTAAAATAACTTTACTTTTAGTAATACACTAATAAACATCTTATCTTATATGTTTTATCCTCCCTATATATTATTCCCGAATGCGCTGAGCCTACGTGGCTGCTTCTGGTGCTTCAGAATCATACTTGCCAATGAATCATGTTTCGTAATTAGGTTTGGACAAATAATATTGATATATTATTAATTAATAATTTAGGTTTAGACATTCCATAAATATTATTTAGCTAACTTAGGTATTTTAATATTACTTGTACTAATATAACGCTTTATTTCATTGTAATTTTACATACTGAGTCACTAAGTGACTAATATATCTCTGACTTTTGATTTGTTTCCTTCAATTATCTATTGAATTATAAATGTATTTTAAAAGTTCATAACTTTTGTTATTCTTATCGGTTTTACATCCTCCCTATATATTACTCCCGAATGCGCTGAGCCTACGTGACTTTTTCTGGTGCTTCGGAATTCTATTTGGCGAAGAATCATGTTTCGTAATTAGGTTTGGACAAATAATATTGATATATTAATAATTAATAATTTAGGTTCAGACATTCCATAAATATTATTTAGGTAACTTAGGTACTTTAATATCACTTTTACTAATATAACCCTTTAATTCTTTATAATTTTATATAGTGAGACACTAAGTGACTAATATATCACTGACTTTTGATTTGTTTCCTTCTATTAGCTATTAAATTATAAATGTATTTTAAAAGTTGATAACTTTTGTATTTCTTATCGGTTTTACATATATGATATATCAAATTAATCATGTTTTGATGATCTTCGATTTGACATCCATATTGTATATATGAAATAAATAAATTATATTTATCTTTATAATAATAAAAAGTAATAATATTTATTAAAAATCATTAGAAAAATAAAATTATTTATCAATTGATATATTTATGTTTAATGTAATTATATGTTGTAAGTTAAAAAAATTATTATAATATAACACAGGTAAGTCGCACAAATAAAAAAATGTCATACTAAATATATAATAATATATATACATTTATAAAAGGTATTGAAATTTTCAATTAATTTTTCTCATTAATTTTATATTTTAAGAAAAAATTAGCAAGCACCCGTGTAATACACGGGCGTTGTACTAGTTAATAACTAATACTTGATTAATTAAAGATAAATACACAAACAAAACATTTTACATCTCCTAAAACTCAACCTCAATATTCTCGCACGGTCGCACCATTATTCCCTCATGATGTTGCTCTCTTCCTCATATCTGCCAAACTGCTTTATTTCGTATCTCTCAAAAATCAACCCAAAATTAACTCAAACAAAGTTTCAAAAGGATATGGACTTGACATTTTGAAAAACGTCCTTATTTTTAATATAATTTTAATGGTAAAATCGTAATCACATTTCATAATTATAACATATAAAAGTTTTGTAAGGAAAATTTATTCGACAAAAACAACATAATAAATACTTATAAAGAATTCAATATTTTCAACTATTTATTTACCTATCTAAAATTTTAACAAAACGATAAATCTCACTTGCAAAGGCATAAAGTTCGTTTATCTTCCAAATAATAGAAAAGGGTATGTCGGAGGCTGATCAAAAATATTTTTGATTATTTGAATGAAGTTGTCACTTCTTGATAGATATATTTACAATCTCATTAGTTTATTGTACTCGAACACATGTGCAATTACTTTAGAGTACGTACTTTCTTGCAATGTAATGATTTCAAAAAAATAATTTAGTGCTTCGGGAGTACGTGTAACCAAGTTTTTGGAAAGTCAACTTTTATTTAAACATAAAATTCATTCCACCCTGGGTAGGTACCAATTTGTCTATATGGAGAGAGTAATGAAAGAGTAATGAAATAGTTTATGCAACGATAAAAAAATACAATCAATGTTAACGACTCAGTTGGTTATTGCACAGAGATATTCATGAGCTGTTAGTAGAGATACCTTTAATGATCATGCAATCATGAATTTGACTATGTATTTGATCAGAATATTTCTAAGTGTTTGGATAAAGTTGACGTTTTGCCAAATGATTAAGAAAAAAATTTCAATACTATTGATGTATTGGGTTTTAACAGATATGTATGTTCTTAATGAAAACGTCAAAACCAAAATTGAAGAAATCACTCTTTAATTATCTTCACGTAAATAAATAAATGAACTAATTCATGTATAATATTCTTTATGTCATTATTTTGTTATTTAGTATTTCATATATTTTTGTGGTGTTGAAATTTGTTATTTCATTTTTTTAGGTTAAATAATTTTTTCCAATGTTTTTGGATTTTGAAACTAAGTAATTTTTTCTTTTGTGTAAATTGCAACCTGAACTACATAAACATTCATTATTTGCACGCTCGCCCACATCTTGACCATACACGTGTTCTTTTTTACATTGGATTTTGAAACTAAGGTAATTTTTTCTTTTGTGTAAATTGCAACCTGAACTACATAAACATTCATTATTTGCACGCTCGCCCACATCTTGACCATACACGTGTTCTTTTTTGCGGATGATCGTATGGTAAAAAAGTAGGTGAGCGTGAAAATAATGACGTATATGTAGTTCAAGTTGCATTTAAAAAAAATACTTTAGTTTGAAAATCCCAAAAACACGTAAAGTACATGTTGGAAAAAATTATATACCTTTTTTTTATAATAGGGCATCATTATGTTATTTTTGAAAAAAGAAAAAAGATTAGGATATCATTTGTTCTATATTTATTTGTTTCGATATCTTTAATAAATTAATTAATTTATTTTACTAAACTTAAGTGGCAAACAACATTCACCATGCACTTGGACATTACTAGTAAATTTAAAATGTGATGTTCACCCGAGAGTGCTTGCCGAATTTGAAAGTCGATGCCTTGGTCTTGATATGTAAAATGTGATGTGCCGTTTTTGTTGATTTTATTCGATTTTCTACATTGAGCGAGCTCCTGGTTTGTGGGTAAGCCCTCGGTTTTGGTATTTTCGAGTGTGGAGCCAACATGTGGCTGTCCGCTTCGACTTGAAAGCCGCCTCGGTAGTATGACTTCCAGTTTTGAGCAATACAAATTTATTTAACGATAAAAAAAAAAAAATATTGCTATACTACAATAAAACTTGGAATTGTTTTTGAAAATTTTGAAATAAATTTATGTAGGTATAGATAATATTTATTTTAGACATATAATTTTATAAATGCAATTAAAGGTATCATTTCTTAAAAATTGAGCGTAAAATAAATGTGTCCTTTAAAATAATGACCTCTATATCAGTTCTTTATTATCTTTATTGTACATTATTTATTTATAATTTCAGAATAAAATAAAAAATATTTTATTGTAAAATATTAATTTTTTCAAGCACTTGTATTGTATACAAGTATTGTACTAGTTCTTATTATAGTGTTTCTTTAGATGGCCCGAAAGTGTAAGATCTTCTTGTTAAGTTTGGATGAAAGAAATCTTTAAGCAGGGAAATAATTTCCGTCCTTTGAAGTTAGAACGTAACTAGGGTTAAGTCAAAATGTGTTTAAGAAGCATGAATAATGCTCAAGTTCCCACCTTATATCCGTAACGTGTTGTTCAATCTACTTTTTTAGGACTCCTGGATTAGCCTTGAATCTTGATTTAAATGTGATTCAACTATAAGGCAACTTTTCTGGCCCACCTTGACATCACTTTACTACATGAATGCTGGTTATTCCTTTCATGAATATCAAAAGACAATGAATATGTTCCAGTAGTAATTGTGTAATGAAAATGTCTAGAAGTTAAGTTTGTCTCATATAGATTACTTAAAGGGCAACCATTGTTCATAAGTGTGGGTTGGGCACCGTGTCCCTTTGAGCTAGCTTTTGGGCATGAGTTTCACCCAAGAATGTTTATCATGGTATCACAACACTTACGTTTGTTTGGTTGGAGGCGATGTTGGGTCTGTACCTGGCCTATTTGGTTTGGCACACTGTATGTGAGGTCGATTGTTAGAAATTAATTGTCCCACATTGGTTAGGTATAGGGCTGGTATTGTGGGTCGAACATCCTCTTTTTTTGACCTATCTTTTGGGGATTTCAGATTGCTTTCCAATCATTCCATAAATTAACTAGACCTCACTATAATTCTGAATATCATGTTTCTTTTATGGTTACTTTCGTCATTACATATCAATAAATCTCTGGGATTAAATTTTACTAGAAGTAATAGAATATGTTTTTAAATTCAATCTGACTAGTGCTATGATTTCAGTAATATCAAACCATGTTTTCTGTTTGTAATTATCTGTATCGTTTGAACTTTATTCCCAGAAAGGGGTTGTGGGAGGCTGATTTGTTAAAGCTATTGACTGAAGTAGTTTTGTCCCATCACAAATCACATATACATAGAGCGTGTTACATATTATTATCACAAAGGTTTTGGGAAATGAAAAATATGAAGAGAGATAATTTTTGTGTGTATTGCAAGTACAAGTAACTTCCAAATTTATAGAGTGAGTGCAGACTAGGTACAACTCGTGCAAATCACCATAAAGAAAATCATTTCTCACATCTATCTAATTCATTTAGCAAGATTAATTGTTAATGAGATGAGAACTCGAATGGAATTCAAACTAGCAGTCGAAGAGAACGTCTGAAAGTAGTTAACACCACACGTCTGAGTAAATCCTTTCGCTACCAAACCAGTCTTATATCGATTAATACTACATCAGCACGATATTTAAGAGTAAAGACCCAACAAAGAAGCAATAATTTTCGGAAGCTTGTCTGAAGCTTGTCTGGAGAAAAGGTCCCTCCTACCTAATATAAGGTGTGCTTGTGCTAGAGGTTTCCAACTGCCCAAGCTTTGTAATAGGACATTGTGCTCCTGAACTTCATGCAATACATAGTATAGATCCATAAATATGAAGGATCTTAAGCTATTTTCTCGTGTTTGGTTTAATTTATTCCATGTTGCATTTATCTGCTCAGACAAGGATATTTATTTCTTGTAACTCACTAAAAGTTGCATCAATATAACATATTTCATCTGGGCCTTAGGAGAATAATTTGGCTGGGTGACCTAAACTATCGCATCAATTTGCCTTACGAGCTAACAAGAGAACTGATTTCCAATAAGAATTGGCCGATGTTGCTCGAGCGGGATCAGGTAATTCTTTTAGGCCTTTGCGTTTCCTTTGTTTGATTATATACTATGTTCCTATTCTGTATTATTCATATTTGGTTTTGGTTTAAGGTATGTTGAATTTATTTTATTGGGTGGATCACTTCATGACTTTTTGGAAACATAGATGAATATAAGTTCTATTTTTATCTTGTTGATAAGTTTGCATACATATTATATAATTAATGTGAAAATCCCTGTTTGCCGGTGTGAAATCCGGAAAGTTAGGTTGCCATTTATATATACTCTCATATGTTTATGCAATTTTTTATTTTTTTTACTCAAGTACCGTAAACTTAAACTACATGAAGAAATAAGAAACATTTGAATTTTTTTTACCACTTATCTGTAGTGCATGTAGTGCACGTGTGATGCAGGTGGTGGTGAATGTTTTGGTCGATTAAGTTCTGTAAAATAAAATAATTGATTTATTGAAGGAACAAAATAAAATGTAGAAGAAGTGAGCTCCTAATGTTTTCATTATAAATAAAATGTCGTAATATAAAAAGAATGAAATAACATATTACAACCCTAACAAAATAATATAAAAAATGAGTCTAAAGAAAAAAAATAAAACATTACATAACTAAATAAGGACCTAATGTAGATCATAAATGCATTAGTTCTTTGTTTTTTATGTTAGACGATTCAAAGGTATTTTTTCATTCATTTTAGTTTTGACGTTCTCATAGGAAACAATTATATCCGTTGGAGTCCAATACATCAATAGTATTGCAAAATTCTTGTTAATTCATTTGACAGAACACTACTTTATTCAAACACTTAAAATATTCTGGCCAAACATATGGTCAAACTTCATGACTTTATGATCCTTATAAGGTATTTTTGTACTAACAATTCATGAATATTTCTATGAAATAACCAACCGTGTCGTAAAAATTGCTCATACTTTTATTAACAGTGTATAAATTACCACATTAATCTCTCCATGGGGTTAGAACGAATTTCATCTCCAAATAAAATTGACAATCCTTGTTACATTTACTTCTCCCGAGGCGCTAAGAGGATGCTTGGATACAAATTCATCCAAAAAAAACCAATCATTTTTAACTCAACCATTTTTTTAACTTAACTTTAACTCAATCTTACTAACATCAATGTTGTCAATATAATTAAATAATATCAAGTAATCATTTTTACACCACATCAACCTTAGTTCACTATTTATCAACTCACATAATTTTAACTACCCATCACATCACATCTTTTCTCTTACTTTGACATCAAATTAATTTTAATTATCTTATTTTAAATATTATTTTAATATACTCACTAACAACTAACCATACCAACTTTTTCAAATTTAACCAACTCAAATAAAAAAATCCAATCAAAACCAAATATTTTTATATCCAAGCATCCGCTAAATAATTTTTTGAAATCATCACACATTACATAAAACTACATACTCTAAAGTAGTTGCGCATATGTTTGAGCACAACACACCAATTAAATTGTAAATATTCATATCAACACGTGACATCATTCATACATTCAAAAATGTTTTGATCAAGCTCCGACATTCCTTTTTTCAATGTTATTTATTTGGAAATACACGAACTACGTAATCTATTTTTGCAAATCATTTACAAATCCAGGTTGTTGCAATGATTTTAGAGTTGTTTATTATAATATCTTTCACATATCTTTCGAATTTTCAATATTTATGTGTAATAACTTGTTTAATTTTTTATTGTATAACTTTTTGCATTATACATAATGCTTCGAAACTCACAAAAATCTTTTCTTGATTATTCAATAATGACAAAAAAAAAACAAAACAAAACAATGAGACTGTATTGAGAAACATATCATTCGTCAAATTATTTGCTCTTAGTCATCTGTGAACTTTATTCTTTTGAAGTGAATCATTATTAAAATCCACATTTTGCATTACAAAGTTTATAAATTTTTAATTATTTAAAATTCAAAATCTATAATATAGGATTATTATTTATGAGAACTAATTTTTTACAGAGTCCATATATTTAAACGCTAACACAAAAAAATAGCCATTTTAAAAGACTTTTGTTTCTATATATTGCTATTCATATTTCTCTAACAAAATTCAGACTTTTTCTTTTTCCAATTGCGTTACAAATTTTTTATTTGTTTAATATCCTATTTACAAATAATATTTTATTTGTCGAAGAATAAGAGCACATTTATATGTATTACGTCACCTTATTGTATGTGTTTTATATAAATACGTTACCGCAAAATCTTATTTATTAAACTACAACTAATATAATAACATAAGATAAAATACTATTTAATATTAATTATTTATTTATTTACATTAATAATATATTTGATAAAAATGTACTTTTATAATGTTTATAAAATTAAAAAATTTTAGGATTTTTTCCAAAATATTAAGTAACTAACTCATTTCATATTTAAAAATAAAATATATTAAAACCATATGGTGTTCCCTTTCAAACTGTAATTGAATAATAATTTAACATACAACTCATTTATTTCTCCTTTTAGTTCACATAGTTAATGTTGGTAATAGTTATATGTTTATATCAATTGAGTTGGTCCAGCGGTCTTATTTTTGGCCCACTTTGCGACGTGATGTCTCTCGTTTTCTCGCACGATGTCGGGTCTGTCAAGTTTCTAAGGAGGTTGCGACGAATGCGGGCCTCTATCGCCCTTTACTGATTCTGTCCCAACCATGGAGTGCCATTAGTATGGATTTTGTGCTCGGTCATCCCCGTACACAGCGCGGTTTTGATTCTATTTTCGTGGTAGTGGACCGTTTTTCAAAGATGGTTCACTTTATCCCGTGCAAGCGCACAACTGACGCCGTGCATGTGGCACAATTGTTCTTCCGGGAGGTGTACCAGCTGCATGGGCTCCCCTCATCGATTGTGTCTGACCGTGACACTTGCTTTTTGAGTTTTTTCTAGTCTTTGGCGACAGGCTAACACTCGGTTGGACTTTAGTATCGCCTACCACCCGCAGACTGACGGCCAAATCGAGTCTGTCAATCGGTCCATGGGCAATTTATTGCGTTGTTTGGTGGGCGACAATCTCCGTAGCTGGGATCAGCGTCTTAGTGAGGCCGAGTTCGCCCATAACTCGGCCGTTAGTCGGGCTACGCGACTCTCTCTGTTCGAGGTCGTCTACGCGGTCCAGCCGCGGGGTTCGACTGACTTGTTGACCTTGCCATTGATCGAGCCACTCGAACGGCGTGCGGCGGATTTTGTGGCCGAGTTGCAGCAGACTCACGCAACTGTCCGGGCGAACTTGGAGACGACGGCGTATAAGAAGTATGCAGATGTTCGTCGGCATGTGGAATTTGAGGTCGGGGATTTTGTTTGGGCGGCTTGACTAAAGACCGTTTTTCGGCATATGAGTATAACAAATTGTCCGCCCGGAAGATTGGACTCGTTGAGTCGTTGAGAAGGTTAATCCCAATGCTTATCGTCTACGTCTTCCTTCACATGTTCGTACGTCGGACGTTTTCAACGTCAAACATCTGGTTCCCTATCTTGGCAACAACTCGGATGAAGACGAGATTCGGCGGGATTCGAGGGCGAATTCTTCTCAACCCGGGAGGATGATGAAGACGAGATTGCCCTCGCGTTCTTGGATCGGCATGATCAATTGGCGTCTCTAGTTTAAGTTATTTATGTCTATTTTTATTATTAGTATTATTTCTTTTATTTCCAGTATTTAGAAAGTAGATATTTATATTTTGCTTAGTCCTTTCTTGTTAGACAAGGAGGATTTTAGGGGTGTTGGGACTCTTTCTCTTATTTTAGCTGGTTGGGAAAATAAACGAGATTCAGATTTTGCTGAAGGAAAATAACATCGCTTTGAGTGTTCACTCTCTTGTTCCTTTCGTTCTTGCTTTTGCTGCGTCACAGATAGACTGACATTTGGCTTCTTTTGTAGCTCATAAAGGAGCTAAGAAAAGGCCGTGTATTTCATGGATGGTCTGAGGGTTCTTTGAACTTTGCTCCAACTTATAAATATGAACTGAACTCCGACTCCTACTGTGGAGTGGATCCAAAGGCTGGAAAGAGAACTCCTGCATGGTATGCACTATTGCTGGTCTTGATATTCACGTTTCCCTTTTGTAGTGTATATATATATATCTGAATGGTCAATTCTAACTGTCATATCTTATAAGTTATTTCGGGGTCTCCATTGTGGTTTTTCAACGAGTACTCTCTGTCCATGTGGTGTGGATCATATTTCTGGCTGAATCATGGCAAATAGAATCACACGAAAAAATAGTTTATATGTGTTTATTTTATTTTTTTATTTTTTCTACCTACGATCTCTAGTTTAATTACCAAAAAATATCGTAGCATATACTAATACCTGATGATGCATTACGACACTGCCTAACACACTTTCAAAATTATCCCAAGATGATTTAGCTTATAAACTCAAATCATATATCAAGGGGATTTTTGTAATTTTGATTTGTTTTTTGGCGCAGTAAGGATTACGAAGTTTATATTATTGTGTGTATAGAGGTGTTATTCGAGCCGAGCCGAACTCATACTCGTTTAATATATGAGCCGGCTTGGCTTGACTCGTTTAATCAACGAGTCAAAGGCAAAGTTCGTTTAAGCTCATGACAGCCATTTCGTTTAATAAACCTAAAACTGTAAACGAGCTGTTTGTTTGCAGTGTCATTTGCAAACTAGTTTGGCTCGAATGTTTCATTTTAAAAACATATAGAAATGAGTTCACAAAAAAAACTCGAGCTCAATAGATGTTCGAGCTCAGTTCCTTTGCTTTCACGATTCGAGCTTAGATGTGTAGCATTTGCATATATCAATATATTTTTTGAATTTACCTTCGGTGATCTCATGATTTCATAATGCCCTGCCATAGTGCATATATCCTTACCGAGTCGTAGTTTGAATGAATTTTTACGAACAAAAAAAAAAAAAAAATAGTTCACACCAGTCCATTGCTTACGCGTACACACATCATCTATAATTTAGTGGACAACAGTAAACTTTGACCATCTTACACACATCATCTATAATTTAGTGGACAACAGTAAACTTTGACCATCTTATGTGGTAGCATATAGTGGACAACAGTAAACTTTGACACTTACGTGATAAAGATGCAAGAACGAGTTAGAATATTTCGTTCTGATTTTTGGACCATGGTGCTTAATCTTATGTATTTTGACTGAATTATTCCTTATATGGTACCACTTTCTTACCCCTTATATTTCTTATTACAATTTTATATTAGTTAAAATTTGGTATATAATATATGGTTGTATATAAAATAGTATGAAAAGATTTATTTTGTTATAGCATTGGCAATTGGATAAGTTGTTCATGCCAGTTAGATTCCTATTGGAGAAGTTTTTTACTTTTTGTTCATCCTAATTCATATTTCATAGATAGAATACGTATTTTCTTTTTCCCGATCTTTTACTCATGAAAGAATGTAAGGCTACCTTTGGATTGGATTGAGAGATTTATTAAGGGATTTGAATTCTATAGATTTCAAATTTACGAGTCCAAAAACCCCATGTTCGGATGATAATAGAAGTCGTAGGGTTTCAAATTTACGCCAAATAGACTTTGGTGAATTTTTGAAAGATTTTAGATGATTCCTCGTACCTAATCATTTGAAATCCACTGTTTATCTCACCGGACCAGACCGGTGAGCTAGACAATGGTTTTATAATCATTTCTACAAATTAATTCAAGGAGTTTGAAAGTAGCAAATTTAAATTTCAAATGATTAGAAATAAAGAGATTTCAAATCTCTCAATCCAAATGAATTCTACAAGGGAGTCTTGTTGTTCAAGTATACACAAAGACTACCTAAATATTTTCATACTATACATAAGTTATTTACATAATACCTATGACACTCCCATCGAAACTGGAGGAGAACGAACGTTTAGGCTGGAGAGAAAATCCGTAGATAAGCAAGGACAGTAAATCCTAGTGACGATATCCACATATTGAAATTCAGAAGGGACATGTAGAATATGAACTTGACCAATAGCAACCTTGTCTATAACAAAATGAATATTCGTTTCTACGTGTTTCGCGCGCTGGTTCTGGACCGGGTTGGTTGGGAGATACACTGGACTTATATTATCACAATAAACTAAAGTGGCTTAATAAGGCGATGCAACTCAAGAAGCAGGATAAAGTTTTTGCCACAACATTTTCCACTTCACAATAGTCGGCTTCAGCACTTGAACATGACAGTGTTGGCTGCCGATTAGAAGACCAAGTGATAAAATTACTTCCCATATACACACAATAGCCAAAGTTAGAACATCGAGTGGTTGAACAGCCGCCCCAATCGGTGTCTTAATAGGCAGTCAGACTTTATTTGAAGCGAGGCAATGGTGCAAACCAAGATTAGTTCCTTGTATGTATCTCAAAATGCAGCTGGGTAGCAAAATGAGGCTCCCGGGGGGCGTGCATGAAAGCAGATCCAAAGTTTCGGCAATGGAAGATCGACAATCACATGGTCATGTCGTGGCCGATAAATTCCATGAACAATGACGTAGGAGAAAATTTTCTCCTTTATGGGACTGAAAAAGAAATCTGGGCTGCAGCAAGAGAAACATATCCAAGTTCTGAAAATACTTCAGAATTATTCCTTCCATCTGGAAACTCAACTACACAATCTACGGCCAGACAATGTATTTGTCACTCATACTTCTATACATTAGTTCAGTATTGGCTACAACTCGACATGTTTGAGTCATACCAATGGAAGTGCAAAGATGATACTGCTTTGTATAGAAAAATTGTAGAGCAGAAACACATTTTCAAGTTTTTACTTGGACTCAACCGGGATCTTGATGATGATCCACTTGTTAGTCTTCGAAAAGTATTTTCACAAGTACGCATAGAAGAAAGTCTGAAAGAAAATCATGATGGGTCTGCAAAGATGTCTCAAAAAACCTTTTAGCACCAGAAGGTTCAGCCCTTGCAGCACGAGCCATTAATGTGATAAATCTCAAGGAAGATCATGGTGTGAGCGCTGCCAAAAACTTGGACATCTAATATAAACTTGCTGGAAAATTCATGGAAAACCAGCAGACTAGAAGTCTAATCGATCCAATCGTTAGAAAATAAATGAGCCAACCAGCTACATTAACTGAATTTAAACCAAATGCGTTTGAGCAAACATATGGAAATTCTTTAGAATATGTTCAGTCAAAACTTGTTGCAGCCTGCAAGTACTTGTTCGGATTAGTGATTCCAGAGCATCTGATCACACATGACGGGAGATGCCACACTTCTTCGTGATTATTGTCTTCATAAGGGTAACGATGACTTTAGAATTGCAGATGGTTCATTGTCCTTGATTTTGGGAAGAGGTTCGCTGCAGTTGGCGAAGGATATGTGCTTCACGTTCAAAATTTCAATTGCAATTTAGTCTCAATCAGCAAAATTTTTGTGATGAGCTTCATTGTGTGGCTAAATTTCTCCCAAACTGGTGTTCAGGAAATGGAATCGGGGAGGATGATTGGCAGTGCTTAGCTGAAGTCAGGTCTCTACATTTTCATGTTCCAGTTGAAATCGCCAAGCAAAATTATTTTGTCTAGACTTTCTCCAGATAGCGCCACATTGTTGCTGCAGTTTTATAAGGCCATTAATTGTGCATCTTTGTCTACCCAACGAGCATAGCCAGCTGTATCTTGATCTAAGAGAAGGAGTGTTGTCATCAACATGACCCACAAGTCTTTTCCGGTGACAAATATTTGAAATTGGCAGGCCCAAGTAGTGTAGTTTTTAACTTTTTCCCATTAAGGCGAATTGATAAGACATCGTTTATCGTTTCATTATTAGGGGAAATAAATTTGGATCGCTGAACTTTGGACAAAGAAAAAATGGAATCTGATCGCTAAGAAAAACTAGGGCTCAGAGCTACTATGATACCATGTGAATCTTTTAAGAAAATGATATTTGAGCTTTTGAAACTGTGTGCTCGTTGGAGATTTCTTGTATATATATGGCTTGATTACAACTTAATAAATCCATGAATTATGCTTTAACAATTCACATCTTGATCTCTAGCCTACTATATGCAATGTAATTGCCATTTGACTACATTTTAACTCTCGAAATGCAATGTAACTGCTATTTGACCACACTAATTATCCTGTCAGGTATGTCATCAATAAGATTACGTATTTTGTTTTTCTCAATCCTTTATGAATCCACTCAGGTGTGATCGTATTCTGTCCTTTGGAATTGGAATGAAGTTGGTTAGCTACAGGAGATCCGAACTCAAGCTGTCTGACCACCGGCCCGTGACCGCCACTTACCTGGTGGAAGTTGAAGTCTTTTCACCTCGAAAGTTGCAACGGGCGCTCACTTTTACTGATGCAGAAATTGAAGAACAAGATGTTGGCCTGCTACTACTGGAAGAGGTAAGTGGCTGAGCCCACTGCTTCTGAACTAAGATTTTTGATAGATTAGATAAATGCAATAACAAAATCATGTTCATTTTAAAAGAGTGTGGTTTCGTACATAAATGCATCATTTTTAGTATTGAGATATCGATAAGCATATCCTGTCGTGACAAAAGATATTGGGAAGCTGCTTCGTTTTTGCATTTGGTTATTGCGGTTAGGAGATTGGATAGGACAGTAAGAATTGATGTAGCCAGATTTATTAATTTATTTTTTATTGTTATTATTATTTTTATTTTTATTATTATACTATTATTATTATTATTATTTTCTTTTCTAGAGGGGTGTTGTCCCAGAATTACCCCATAATTTTTGACCTAATTATAAAAATACCGCAGTCATCCTTTATATATAGGGATTTTAGTAGTACCTTACATATGCCCTTTCTATAAAATTCCACTTCTGTGAGATACAAGCTAGCGTCCATGGAGTAATTTATATATTAAAAAAGATAAAAAAACATGTGGACAAAAAAAAAAAGAAAAAAAGGGAGTGGACAACAATAAAAAACACGTATTTAAGGAATACGTTTTCTATACAATTTGTATAGAAAACGTATTCCCTATATACATTTTTTCAGATTTTTTTACAAAAAAGAACGTATTCAGTGAATACGTTTTACAATTAAAAGAATGGTAAAACGTATTCACTGAATACGGGGTTTTTATTTTGGTCCACTCTCATTTGTTTGTGTATTTTTTTTCCACAACTTAATTTTTTTTTTTTTAATTTCTGGTAAAAAATTCAGCGTCCTTGAGGTTCTAATTTTAAAAACTAATTTGGTCTTCATTTGCTAAACCTTTTTTCTTTGTTTTTCTTTTCATTTGATTTTTTATTATTTTAACAGGGATCAAATACCCTACATGTGATGTTAACATATGCAGCAGTTGGAGTATTCTTATTCATTATATTTGCCCTTGAAAGTTAAAACACGAGATGATTAGAAGAAATAACCACGAGCTTTCACTTATTTGTTAAAAAGTTGAGTTATCCTTAGAAAATTGAAAGCCTTGAAGTATGTGTTTGTTCAGCAAATGATCTCCCCTCAGTGTTGTTGAATAGTAGAGTCACCATGTCAGGAGTTTTCTAATTTAAATGATAACCAAGTTTTGGTAATTAGGCAAGACCTACACTACTTGTTTAAGTTGTTAGAATGTCAAAATACAGCTATGCCATCTTCTTGACTTGTTTGTCATCTATTCTCATAGAATGCATCATTTTATATATCTCAATCAATCATCCATTTGTAGTTATGCTGTGCCATAATACGTGGAAATAATAGTCCACTTATGGCTGATGCATGCCATTATTGGATTAAATTTTGCAGGATACTTTCTATCGGAAGGGTGAGGGACATCGTCCAAGGTTTTGAATCGGAGCATCCAATCATAATTGGAAGTTTTTTTTTTTTTTTTTTTTTTTTT